AAGTACTCCTCTCGTGGGAGGGCCCTTCCTGGGCCAGGGCACAACAAAAGCCTGATACCCCCCCACGCCCTTTCAAAAACTAAAGCCCCCCGAAGTTTATCTTTAACCCCCCCTTTACAGCTCCCAAAACAAATCCCGTTATAAGGGGGAAAAGCGGGGGTTGCGCAGTTGTGTTTGCCCGGGGAAAGGAAGGAAGGAATGAAGTTGTTCATTTCATCCCCTTTCACAACAAGACCGTCCTCCAGCGATTTTCCCTATGTCTTTCCCTGCACGTTTCGCACCCAGACACAGGACAAAAAGCGGGATCCACCCGGGGAAATTTTTTGGGAAAATTAAAGTGACCCCACGCTCGCACCCCATGCGTTTCCCAAGTCACGTGTTCAGCCACTGCTGTTGCGCGTTGTTGTTTAGCCAGCACAGCTGTTTAGCAAGCCAGAGGGAGTTTTGTGGTGTTTCTGCGTCCAGTGTGAGCCCTTCTCCCCGTGTTTGTGGGTGGGGGAGGGGGAGAGGAAGTGGCCGTTCCCACCTTGCCCATCTCGCCCCACTCAGCTCACCCGTCTACCATACACTCACCACTTGCCCCTCCCTTGCTGTGTTTTCGTGTTTTCCGTGATTCTTCCAGAGCTGTCTACCGGTGCCCCAAAGGGCCCCTCGAAGCACTGGATCACATGCCATAGATCACGACAATGTGGATCCCAATGCACGTGGGGGTGGGCGAGTACATGGGTCACCAGCCATGTGAGTTACCCGATGTCCCCGGCCTCATGCTGGGTCGCTGCCCCTCACATCGGTCACCCACGATGCTGCCCGCTTCATACGTCACGATGTCTGCTTGTGTCACCTCGAGTGTCGCTGAGTCACCCGCAACATCACGCCCGACATCACATGATTCCCCCGGTGTTCAGAATTATTAAAATATTGTGGAGAAGACTAAGAAAATTATGTCGTGTGTTAATTTTTGTCATCATGTTCTCACATTTTTTGTATAGCTTAGTGTCATTTTATCACAGAAAAGCATCATTTGTTAGTTTAAGCCATGTTGTACTGCATGTACCGTGGGTGTGTTTAAAGTTTCCGTGTATCCAGTGAGGTCTGAGCCAGACCTGAGTAGCACCACTGTGCTAAGTCACCCGATGTGACCAGTACATTTGACAGCTGATGTCAAGACAGCCCCGAGTGACCGAGCCCTCTTGTACAGAAAGCTTTTATGCTCGTCGCTCGTGATGTTCTGCAGAATCGTACCTGCTACGATTCCCATCGAGATTTGTTTCACTTCACCTCCAGACCATCAGAGTGCAGTTATATGTAGAGAAACAAGTCTGGGGACGCTTAGACTAACCTCTGCTATAACTCCAACTGCCCAGAGAGATGACACTCGCCAAGCCGCAGTTAGCCACTGTCGGCAGGCGCTGTGTCAGCCTCGTGTCACAAGCTTCAGTGAGCAGCCTGCACAAAGATGTCACTTTGACTGCTAGCTCGCTCACTGCAGTCTGGTGTTTGATGTTACGACTCCCAGATGTTCACCCAGTCGTCTCTTGCCACGACTCACTCCACAACTCGCCCCCACGCTCGCCGGCAGTGACAGCGAAGCGACAGTACCAGTCGAGAAGTGTCCTCCTGAGTTGCTTGCCAGAAGTCCTGCCCTGTTGCCGAGTTTGTCGACGCCTCACTCGAGGGCACCAGCATGTCGTGCCCCAGGTTGAGTGAAACCTGCAACGACTCCTACAATGTCTGCTTCACCGTTCCAGAGGAGACCGTACCCTGTTACGTCACAGCTCAGCCGCAGCGGTCTCCTGTGTTGCAGTATCTGTCCAGACGCAGGAAGGCGTGCAGTGATGCCCATCGACGCTCACTGCCTTTGACCATGATGTTTAGCACACCCCACATGTTTTTTCTTCCCTCCCTGTAGGAAGTTTTTTTTCCATGTCCATTTGTATATGTATGTTTTTATTTTGTGTTCTGTGCCCTGTTCCTAGGAGAGAGAGACCGAGTTTCTTTTACCACCAGTATTGTCGCGTCGGGACGACGTGCGGTAGGTGGCCGAGCATATGTAGACAGCCTGTACTGTCTGCACAGACAGCCCATGCTGTCTGCCAGCTTAGTTCATATTTTGCGCCATGCTGGTGCTGCCACCTATAGGCGTTGCCACTTCAGCCTGCCTGCCCTTGCCTCGCTCTCACTCACACAGTGGCCTAGCAGCAAGACACAAGTACTAGTAGCTCTCTCTCGTGGGATGGCCCTTCCCGGGCCATGGGTACAACACAAGCCTGTGTACCCACCACGACTTCACAATAAACTAAGAAGCCTTCCGAAGAAGTATATCATTTAACCACCCGCGTTTCAGCTATACCAAACAAACTCGTTATAGTAATGCATTATTTACAGCTAGCAAAGTCAGGGTATTTCTCCAGAATGGTCTGTAATATACCACTGTGGATAAAATACTTTGCCATTTCTTGAACATTTCTGAGTGAGTTGTTTCTAAATTCATTAATTTGATCACACTCCAGTACATAATGACGCAAGGTGTGACAATAGTCCATCTGGCAAAGTTTACATTTCGTTTGGTCTACATCTGGTGGTGGTGATTTAACCTGCCATAGATACTTGTAACCCAGCTGGAGCCGGGCAGTAGTGACATCCAAGAGTCTGCTTATCTTGTTGGATGCACATAGACATGTGGCTCCTCCTGCATGATGGAATGATGATAGATGGACTGACTTGTGTCAATCTCCCTAAGTCTTAAGTCAATAAAGTTCATTTGAAGTTATTTTCGTATTATTGTTCTCAAAACTGCTAACTGACAACCCAAGATTGTAATCTACCCCCTCTTTGAAAGCATACAGCTTAGCCAATTTATTAGTTCTATCATGCATCTGAAGACCAATGTGAGATGGAATCCACAGCATGTGCACTCTGACTCCACTGTCCACAATCTTACCACACCTATGTCTGGCTTCTGGCACAAGCATGCCTCAATTTATACTTAATGAGTTGAGAGCATTTATGGATGACAGAGAATCACTTACAATTAAAGTGTCAACCTTAGACACATGGACGCATTTGAGTGCAAGGAGTATGGCAAACAGTTCTGTTTGAAGGGTAGAGGCCCAGTTATTGATGCGTGCTCCAATTTCTTTAAGAGAGCCATCACTCTGTATGACAACAGCAGCTATGAACACTAACTTCAAGGCTGAGGGACTGATTAACTCATCCTTTGTATATAGTTCTGTCTTCTAATTATGTCCTAGAATCTGTATTGATAAAGCCACTGGATGGCGAAACGTCTACAATAAAGATATTCAGATGTTGCACATGTGTGTTAACTTTCATATTGTCGGTATTTTATACCTATCTTGCACAGCACTAATCTGAATGATCTGTCGATTGGTAGACACTATTTCTCATTAGGTGGGGTTTAGAGATAGGTTCAGGCTCTCTCCTATGTCTTTAATTTTTCTGATGTCTCTAGGAGAGATTCTGTAGTGCCAGCTAAGGTACCATAATCCAAGAACCAGATATTGAGCTCACTGGAGAGCGCTTCTGTGACTTCCTTGATGACCAGACACGAGTCAGTTTCATGGTTCCCAAACTATAACACGATTGTATGAAGGGATAGAGGGAAGGGAAGTGTCTAAAAATCTGTTTGGAGAACAGCATCTCTTCTAAGTTCAAAGCGTTGGCAAAGTCCAATTTGATCAAGACTTTTCATCTGATCATGTTGTTGATGTATACTCGTGCTGCGTGGGCAGCTGCTTCACAACCTTGTTGAACACCAAAATCAAGCTGAGTTGGTTTCAGCATTGCAGCAGCCTCTTGACTCACCATTCTTACTGCAGCCTTGGCGACAAGGCGCCGAAGGGTGTTGCCCACTGCACTGGGCCTGATTCCTCCATTCTTTTCCATTCTTTTTCCAGAGGGCACATAGTGAGTCACTAAAGACGAAGAGTCAAATAGCCTCCGAGACACTGCCAGCCAGGCACACGTTGGAAAATTTGGTGAGTTCAGACAGCAGCCTCTCTGAAACATCACCAAGTGCTGAACTGAACATTTGTTTTAAGTGTTGTGCCTTAAACCGGTGAAACCTCTGCTGAGCCCTGTGGAAATGACATAGCGGCTTTATACATACCAGCGTCCTGCAGGGTTAAATGTTTTTCACCTGCTGCAATATCAAGGAGGTCAGTGTTAGTGCTGGGAGCCCTGGGTGGATGTTTGTCCTTCAGGGCTTGTGCTGTAACGACACCCTTAGGGGGTGATGGTATCCTTACTGGTTATAAGCCTCAGTGCTCCAGTAGTATTACCCTCTTCTATTTTTTTGCTAATTTAGGCTTTGATTTTTGAGTCATCAGGTGTTCTGTTGTTGGCATTTTCCCGGTGGGTATTTGTCGCCCTAGAGGGAAGACGGACGAGGCTGTCATCTCTAGGGAATGCATTTATTGCCCTAATAACAGATGTTCCTGGGGACTTATCCCTCCTTGGTGGGACAGCCAGACAGACATTGCCAAATAGCAGTAGATTGTGCCAGTATCCATTGTTTGCAGGGGTATCATTGACTTTCTTCAAGTCAGCGAATTTGCTAGCAGGTTGAGGGCGAGCTGTTTGTGGATGTGTCAGCGTCTTGGTGGATGTTAATTTGATTGTAGATTTTGGGTCCTCTGTAGTGGTGAAATCACGGTAGCTGTCAGCTTTGTCTTCTGGGAGGGGCTGTTGGTTATTACCATTTGGAGCCCTCCGGGAGCCTAGACATCCATTATGTGCACGGATGTTGCCATTTGAGGGATTGAGTGCACAATCCCTGTGGCACATCTGCCACTATGTAATATATATGTATATATATTTCAAACTGGAGATAAACTGTACGTTCGATCTGGAGGATTCCCAGTCTAAATTTCTTACTGTGTCAACAACACACACTACTCGTATGGCTCCACTGCTTCCCTTCTTTTTGTCGCCACGCTATACAGTAATCCATTAGCTAATCCCCCTTGCGTGTTCCGTAGGAGTGCGGGATAACGGGAAGGAAGTACACTTACGGCAATATAGTGGACCAGGCTTTACGATGGGCTGGCGTGGTGTCTCGGGTGTTGGCAGCACCATCCTCCAAAAGGAACCGACTGACACTATTTTCCGTCAACGCTCCGGAGTTTCCCATCCTCCTGCTGGGGTCTCTAGCTGCCGGCGCCACTGTCAGTACAGTCAGCCCCAGCTATACTGCCGGTAAGACACACGAATCAGTCCGTAAGGTTCTAGAATCAGGATGAAAAGACTAACAAGTAACATAAATTGGAAAAAGAAACTAAGCTATATTTCTGTCCATCCTGAACAATTATTAATCTCCAACTCCACACAATGAAATGGTAGAAGGAAACTCTATACAGGTATTCGAAATTATGTCTATATAGGGCTTATTATCGCCAGTTAAAAGTTAAGCTGAATCAAGAGATGGACTTTATCCACACGCAGATGAGGTTGCACGACAGCTTATAGACAACGAGACAGACATGCTGGTGACTGACCCCAAACTGGAGAGTATACTGATAGATGCCTTGACGAAGATTAAAAAGACGATTCCTATTTTTATCAGCGGTGTCTCTGCCCACGGTCACCCCAACATCAGGCATATTCTGGAAGACTCCTCTAAACCCTTCGCCGAGCCTGTTCAGGTAAGTTTTTTCTCCAACAATTGAACTCTTCAATGCAGGCTCGTTGGTACAAGTGAACGGCTCTTGATCTAAGGAATTGAAACTTGTTCTCCTCTTTATTGCAAATAAAATTGCTATTAAATGTTGAGTGTTATTATTAGAAAATTGTTCAGCTGAATATTATAATCAGAAATTTAGATGGATAAGCACAATATGCCTGATTTGATTTAAAAAAAAAAACACTGGTACTTTTCTCTCAGTCTCCCCTGAAGTCAACAGCAGTGATTCTGTACTCCAGCGGCACCACTGGGAAGCCCAAGGGTGTGGAGCTCTCCCACGGTGCCATCACCTCCAACCTCCATATGTTCACTCATCCATATTTCTTTCCTTACCTGCCAACAACACGTAAGAGAGAGATTATATATATAGTACAGTTACTGACTTCCTATACAACATATATTATTTCGTATATAAATTTGGAAATAAAATTTCTGCCATTAGACCGACTTGTATATCTTTATTTATATACAATCAGTGGTTTAAAATCTCTATTTTTAGGTATTAAACTATACTTGGGTGTTATTGTACAGAAGATATGTCCCCATATGTAGTTGAGAACTTTAAACCTAACAAATTATATACCTACCTCCCTCTCCATATGCCTCTCACCTCCAGAAGAGTACCAAGAATCAGTCATTGGAGTGATGCCCTTCTATCACGTCTATGGTATGCACGTTGTCAACTTGATCACCCTCTACCTGGGAGCTAAGGTCATCTCGCTGCCTGCCTTCACTCCTCAAGACTTTGTTAGGAACATTAGAGATCACAAGGTTAGCAAGGAATTCTCAGTAAATTCTCCAGCTAGCAGAGCCTTTGGGTATATGCTGTTAGTATGAAAAAGAGATTTTTATACGATTAGTAATCTCAGAGAGTTAGTAACCCAGACTAACCCAACCAGTATGCCTTATTTCCAGTGGAATTTTTTTTTTTTGTCCTTTTCCAAGATGCGACCCTTAACAGTCGACTAGCACCCAGGTATCTATTTGCTGCTAGGTGACATGGGCAACACCAGTGTATCGCCTCTCTGTAAAGATAACTAGACACCTTCATGCGTTTTATACATCACTTTGTCAGTACCGTAAACTTTTGATTGAAGAGATGTGTTAGTAGACTTGACTTGTATGTCCCACCTCGTCCAGGATTCAACTGGGGGTCCCGACCGTCCCGTCGGGTGTGAGCCGAATACTCTATCACTGTGCCACCTAGCATATGTTGACTTGATAAACTACTATTTAAGGTGAAACGTAGCCTTAGAACAAGGTTCGCCATGCTATGTTTTATTACATTTCTAGTTTAGTAGTTTGTCCCTTTTGTCAGTCATTACATAACATTCTTATCATTTAGAATAAAAAATATAATTACCAAGAGGTTTATATCTGTGTATAAACACTTATAGTTTATTTCTGTGAGAAACTATTTGCATGAGGTTTACAGGGTATTACCTGAATTATTACATATAAGTAATTAATGTGAGGTAAGTGGGACATAGTCACAGTAGGACACAGAACTGTCACTCCCTCGATGCTCACTCCTTCACCACTCTCACAAAAAGCTAGACTTAACATTAAATTAATAAGTAACAAAAAAAAACAGCTACTCTGGTAAATTAAAATTATGTGGACTGTATGTTATTTTAGTTTGCTTCCTGGGTACACAACTATTAGTACAATACATGTAATACAATAGTGTTATTAGAAAAGAAATTCGTATTATCACTTACCATTTAATTACTGTAGTTGGATCTTACCACAACGCCTACCTAACATATAGAAACCTACACTGGCCAGCGAGAAATCTAAATGAAAGGACAGTGGCGTACTTACCTGTGAGAGTGATGGCATAGTCTCCTTATTTTTCACCATCCACACTTAATTCTGGAGGTCCCGGAAATTTCCTGTCCCAATTTTTCAGCAGGGGACATTAACATGGGTTCCAATTACAAATTCGGGCCGAAACACCCAATTATGGCCTCGATGACGCCGGATTAAATTTCACTATTAACAAACCAGTGCTCACACATTACTAACACTATGGTGTCCTCTCTTTCTCCTCCTGTATCACTCTGCGGCCGCTGCTCAACCTTCACACAAAATTTCTTGAAGGGTCAAATCGGCGTCAGATTTTAATACACTATTATATTATTCATATTGACTCATGCTGAATTAAGGAAAATTAAAAATTTGCCACAACTTCATTACCTTAAAAATTTACTTCACTACCTTAAAAGTTTACTTCATTACCTTAAAAATTTACTTCACTACCTTAAAAGTTTACTTCATTACCTTAAAAATTTACTTCACTACCTTAAAAGTTTACTTCATTACCTTAAAACTTTACTTCACTACCTTAAAAGTTTATTCATACCTTAAAAATTTGCTTCACTCCCTTAAAAGTTTACTTCATTACCTTAAAATTTACTTCATACCTAAAGTTTACTTCATTACCTTAAAAATTTACTTCACTACCTTAAAAGTTTACTTCATTACCTTAAAAATTTACTTCACTACCTTAAAAGTTTACTTCATTACCTTAAAAAGTTTATTTCATTGCCTTAAAAGTTTACTTCATTACCTTAAGGCCCTCACACAGTCAGGCTGAACCTGAAAAGCAGCCTATATTTAGAAGATTTTTTCTTTACATAAATATTTAATAACACGTTTAAGATACAAATGCAAGAGCGATTATTTGCTTAATCAACGTGATTCTTCTCTCTTGAAAACTGGGTTGTATATTCAACGTCTTGCAGTGTTGAGGTCAGGGAATACAGATTATGCACGATAAATTAAAGTGTAGTGACCAAGGTCCAAGGACAGAAACATATCGAACAAGGATCCTCTTGCTATCCATATTGTTAGTATCAGTGTGCCGTTTGCCTTAGCTTACTTAATTTTAACTTGAAACTCTTGTGCTATATTGTAGATACGGGTCCTGCACACAATTCCATCAATACTGAACTTCCTCTGCGAGTCCCCAGAAGTCACCTCGGCAGACCTGGAAAGTGTGAGGGTTGTCTTGTGTGCGGCGGCGCCTGTACTACCCACAACAACTGAGGCGTTCAAGAAGAAAGCACCCAACCCAATACTCTTCCAGGAAGGTGAGAGAGAGAGAGAGTAAATGAGCGCTGGTTATTTGTTGTTGAAGCTGTATAATTTGAAAATATACTTCTCTCTCTCTCTCTCTCTCTCTCTCTCTCTCTCTCTCTCTCTTGTAAATTTATTTAGTGTGTGTAGTCTAACATTAAAATAAATTTAACGCTATTAAAAGGATTGAAACATAAAATTTATTCATATATAATGTAAATAAAAAAATGCTGTCCACAAAGCAACATAAACAAATTGGTCAAGAATACAGACATTGAGGCAGGAGATGTACAATAGTATGGGAGCATATTACTGAGTATGCAAGAAAAACATTGTTGCAATGACATCAGGCAGAGAGAAAAATCTCCTGACGATGTGTCATCTTTCTTATGAAGAAGTATTCACTGGTGAGTCGAGCAGCAACTGCTGGTCTGTGCTGTGACTGTGGTGCCTAGTAGCACTGACGGGGGTGTATTACCACTGTAACTTGCTTAGCTACCATAAATTTGGTGCCCAGTCCCTGGAAGTATTATGTACCTATGTAACATTTGGACTACCGCCTAGCCCTAGAGGATGGAATCGGGGTGCATGAAGATGGCGGAGGGTGAAAATAGATTACAACCAGGAACCAGAGTCACCCTTATACTACAATGTCTTATCATATAACTCGTGCAACTCTCTAAATGTGGGATAACCTAGAAAGAACTCGAAATAATGGTTTGAGGTTAAATTCAAATATTAGAAAGTGTTTCAGAAAGTCTTGGTTTAGAGTTTAGATGGACGGAACAATTTACAAGCAGGCAGTGACGTTAATTAACTCTTCCTGTCTTTTACAAACAACCAGTGAAGCTAATTCTTTGTGTATCTTCTACAAGTAGTCATCCCCTCAAGGGAGGTTCCTTGATGCTGGTGAGGAGCCCTTGATCTAGGGAATTGGATCTGTGCTCCAGTTCCCTGAATTGAGCTTGAATGCCTTCCATCCCCCCCCCCACATGCGCTGTATAATCCTATGGGTTTAGTGCTCCCCCATAATAATAATAATAATAATAATAATAATAATAATAATAATAATAATAATAATAATAATAATACAAGCAGTCAGTGAAGCTAACTTTGTGAATCTTCTACAAGCAGTTAGTGAAGCTAACTTTACGTATTTTCTACAAGCAGTAACGCTAACTCTACGTATCTTCTACAGTCAGTGAAGCTAAGTCTTTGCGTATCTTTAAAAATTATTAGACAAATGCGTAAGTGAAAATGGTCAACTGGAATGTTCCTGTATTATGTTTGTATTACCTACCATTCTTTAGGTGCTATGTAACTCCTACGGGCTTATAGCGTCTCCCCTTCAGTCTAACAATAATCTTCCTCTTGTAGGATTTGGCCTGACGGAAACTTTGCCATCGTTGATAACCCCCATGGATGACGAGAGGATAGGCTGGTGTGGCAAATGTGTGCCCAACACTGAGATCAAAATTGTGGACTTGGAGACTGGCAAGGCACTGCCGGAGCTACAGAGAGGAGAACTCTGTATAAGGTCTCCTTCGGTAGGTTCAACCCTTTCTTTCTTTCCCTATGTTTCTTTCTCTCTGTCTTTATATATATCTTATAATGGCCAGCACCTCTTTCGCTAATTCCCCATAACCACCTACAGTTAATACAGAGAAAGAAAATAATACTGTTTTCAAAGGGGCTCCTTGATGCTAGTGAAGTGTTGTTCATCCAAGGTATTGCAGGCGTCCTCTTCTTCCTAGGCTATAACCTAATTGTCTCACATTTCCCAGAAGTTCTGTGTCCACTAAGAGTTCATCATTTTCCCCATCAAAATAATAATAATAATAATGCTACTACTAATAAAGCACTACCGTTGCCATATCTAACGATTCATTAACTCTCTCAGCTCATGACTGGTTACCTTAACAACCCGGTGGCTACGGCTGAAACCATCGACCAGGATGGTTTTTTGCATACTGGCGACGTGGCTGTCCACAAGGATGGCTTCGTCAGCATTGTCGACAGGATAAAGGAGCTTATCAAGGTCAAAGGCTATCAGGTAGGTCAAGACAACAAAGATAATCGTCGACTTCCGGAGTTAAGAAATTTGGTAAAACAATTTTTTATGATGTTATAAGTCTTCAGACTGAGAGACTTCACTGTTACATCTCCGCTGCAGTGCGTAATACCGCCAGCAACGCTGGAGATATTGTATTAATGGTATACAATACCGACAAGTTGATGAACAAGACACGTGTACAAACACCTGAGTACACATATTGTCGAAACGTTTCGCACACGCACCATGAGCACTTGTGGTCGGCTGATGAAGTAGGGGCTGAGCACTTTACAGTCTTCTGCTTATATTAATATTGGTATAATTACCGACAATATGTTAATTAAAAGGACACAAATGCAACTAATATGACATTTTATTGTGGCAACGTTTCGCTCTCCAGGAGCTTTATCAAGCCGTTACGACTTGATAAAGCTCCTGGAGAGCGAAACGTTGCCACAGTAAAATGTCACATTAGTTACATTTGTGTTCCTTTACTAGTCTTCTGCTTGAACCATCCCAGGTATATTAGTCACCTTCGTGTTGAACTGAATCTTGCTGCACAAGATTCAGTTCAACACGAGTTTTGCCCATGTGTCTTATTCGTCAGCTTGTCGGTATTGTTTACCATTAATACAATGACAGTAAAATATATGTCATTAATGTTTAATAAATTTAGGGATTTGAATAAAGGCTTATTGTGTAGCCTATAATATGAGTATCTGATGGTTCTGCTTCTTTATTAATACATCGGCCGTTTCCCACCAAGACAGTAAAAGAAGAAACACTTTCGTCATTCACTCCGTCACTGTTTTGCCAGTGGGGTGCCTACTCTGCAGTTAAAAACCTGCAATATGTCAACATTCCTCCTTCAGAGCTCAGATAATGTACCTCGCACGACTCATGAAATCGTAATGACACGATTGCAAACAAACCATACCACGGGCGGGGATAGAACCCGCGATCAGAGAGTCTTAAAACTCCAGACTGTCGCGTTAGCCACTGGGCCAGCTAACCACAATGTACCTAGTTGGATGAATCTTATTGTGGCTAGCTGGCCCAGTGGCTAACGCGACAGTCTGGAGTTTTGAGACTCTCTGATCGCGGGTTCTATACCCGCCCGTGGTATGGTTTGTACCTCGCACCTCCTGGACTCAAGCTAACCGGTTTCCCTGAATCCCTTCATAAATATTACTCTGCTCACACTCCTACAGCACATTAGGTTATAAAAACCCTTTGTCTCCACTCGCTCCAGGCCCGGTGGCCTGGTGGCTAAAGCTCCCGCTTCACACACGGAGGGCCCGGGTTCGATTCCCGGCGGGTGGAAACATTTCGACACGTTTCCTTACACCTGTTGTCCTGTTCACCTAGCAGCAAATAGGTACCTGGGTGTTAGTCGACTGGTGTGGGTCGCATCCTGGGGGACAAGATTAAGGACCCCAATGGAAATAAGTTAGACAGTCCTCGATGACGCACTGACTTTCTTGGGTTATCCTGGGTGGCTAACCCTCCGGGGTTAAAAATCCGAACGAAATCTTATCTTATCTTATCTTAACACGCTCACGCACGCTTGCTGGAAGTCCAAGACCCTCGCACACGAAATCTTTACCCCCTGCCTCCAACCTTTCCTAGGATGACCCGTACCCTGCTTTCCTTCCGGTACAGATTTATATGTCCTCCAAGTCATTCTAGTTTGTTCTATCCTCTCTAAATGTCCAAACCACCTCTACAACCCTTTCTCTGCCATCTGGAAAATACTTTTGGAAATCCCACACCTCCTAATCTCCAAGCTACAGATTCTCTGCATTATATTTACATTGCATATTGCCTTTAGACACATCTCCACTGTCTCCAGCTTTCTCCTTGTTGCAATATTCACTACCCACATACATTCCCATACATTCCCCTCTTTGCTTCCATGGATAAAGTTCTTTGTCTCCACAGTGCACCACTCACCTTTTTTCCCCCTCATCAATTCTCTGATTTACCTCGTCTTTCATAGAATCATCTGCTGACAAGTCCATTCCCAAATATCTGAACACATTCACTTCCTCCATCCCCACTCCCTCCAATCTGATATCCAATCTTTTATTATCTTTTTAGTTATCCTCGTCTGATAAGCTTCTTTAATTACATGCTGATTGATTTAAGGTGGATAACGGAGGCAGAACCCTTTCAGGCACAGGTTCCATATGTGAAGTGTGGGTAAATGAGAGTGGAGTGTTAGTAGTGCATATCGAGGAACGTAATAGCGAATTTTCTAGTGTGCCTGCATTTTTTTAATGAACGTCAAAGTTTAACTTATAATTTACGAGCAGACCTAGGAACTTTTTTCATTATTTTTCTCTAGATTTATTAATTTTGACAAGAAACTGCGGACATATTTTATTCCCAAAAGTCTTTCATGCACACAAGTTTTTATCTCTTGAGTTCACTTGGTGGCTGGCACTGCAGGTGTCACCGTCGGAGCTGGAGGATGTGCTCCAGCAACACCCTGGCGTGGTGGACTGTGCTGTGGTGGGCGTGGATGATGCTCGCTCTGGCGAGGTTCCTCGTGCCTATATCATCAGGAAAGACTGCAACACTACGGAGGAGCAGGTCCACGAGTTCATGAGGCACAAAGTAGCTAAGTATAAGCAGCTGAAGGGTGGCATCGTTTTCGTCGACACTCTGCCCAGGAGCTCCATAGGAAAAATACTCAAAAAGGAACTAAAGGCCATCGCGCCTTGAATCCTTGACTGTCAGCTGCTGAGCGACCTGTGTGGTCAAAGTACTTCGTAAATGTTACTACTATACTACTGCTGCTACTATATTATTATTATTATTATTATTATTATTATTATTATTATTATTATTATCTGTGTCCTACAGATAGTTAGTTAGTTTAATATGTTTATTATGCACCCCATACCCATCCTGTGGGCGGTAGTCAAAAGATTACAGAGGTACATAATGGGTCCCGGGACTGGGCCTCAAAGTTTTGATAGCTGAGCAAGTTACAGAGGTAATGAATTCACAATTTACAAAGGTAATGAACTCACAATTTACAAAGGTAATGAACTCCAGGTAGGTCTAGTCACAATCATGACAAGTTACAAAGGTATTTACAGATTACAGAGGTACACAATGGGTCTACAGTGTCTCATCACTTGGCTTTACCAAATGGGGAATTATAACATTAAGTTAAACGAACGAAAGACAATTCTTTTTAATATAGCTGAGTTTATCCCCCCCCTTCCCTGGATCAAAATTAATTGTCTCCCTTTTTCCCAGATGCTGGGTGACTCCAAATGATTTACCGATTCCCGATGCAGTAATCCTAGTAAAATATCGTAGCACGAGGCGATGAATGCCAGATAATATTCCACGGTATGACATGCTCTGATGAAAATATAATTCCCAGTTCTCTGGTGAAAATCTCCCTCGATGGGCAGATGAGGAGTTCTTGATCCAAGGAATTTCATCTGACCTCCTCTCAGGTGCCTTGATGCTGTGAGGGTCTCTTGATTCAAGAAATTTCGCCTGACCTCCCCTCAGGTGCCTTGATGCTGTGACCGTCTCTTGATTCAAGGAATTTCGCCTGACCTCCCCTCAGATGCCTTGATGCTGTGAGGGGTTCTTGATTCAAGGAACTGGACCCAGGGCCAGATTAAGAAGTCTCAGGGCCCTAGGCTATTCAGATTGGCGGGGCCCCTTTGAGTTACGGGTAAGCGAAGCGACCCCTTCCAGCTTGGGGGGGGGGGGTCGGTGTGAGCCTGTTTAAGGTCTAATTAAATACATTCTGGCTATTTAGATTAAATTTAATAGGGAAAGTACATCAAGACAACCAAAACCATTTACCAACAGCCATTATAACTATCTTGTTAAATCATGCATTTTAAAGAGAATAAACTCAAGACAGCATAGTATTACTAGATTAGGCTATTAAAGTAGTGACATCATGTACCTATTATATTTAGCATAACCACTACAGCACTATTATTCCCTTTATAAATCACTGACCATTATTGTTATCATTGCATCATGCATAAGACTATCAAATCATATAAACTCAAGAAAGTAAAGAATTGTTTATATTCACAGGCACTTCTTAAATAAACTTTTTTCTGGATTTCATATTGGCAAAATCATCAATTATATTCTGAAAATCAATATTTCTTGTTAGATCAGACTCAATGGTCAACAAGGCTAGGTTACACAATTTGTCTTGGCTCATTGTTGAACGGAGCTGGTTTTTCACTCTTTTCAAAACAGAAAATGAACGTTCTCCTTCACAGTTAGTAGCTGGAAGTGTTAGGTAAAGGCGATACACTATGTCAACATTAGGGAAGGTTTTCTGAGATACCTGCATTTCTTAAATGTTTCAAAGCAGCTGAGGGCGCACATTTTTCAGGTGGAGCTTTAATCTGATTCATATACCCAGAAAAATGAACTATTTCTTCAACAAATGTGTCCTGAACATCTGCTGAAAGGTGTTGTTGCAACTTTAATGCAGCTTCTCTCAATTCTGCATCTGGCATAATAGTAATTTTGAACAGAAATCCAAACTTGTCATTGAGATTCTGGTAGATTTCTTTTCTTTTCACCAATTCTGTAATCAGTGAATCCAGAATGACGAAGTATGTAGCTGTCTTACATTTCTGCCTGATAGACATCAATGTCTATCAACAACACTTCAGTTAATTTGTCACAGTACAAGTCTAGATAGCGTGTAATTACTACAGAAAATTGGAGAGGAATCTCCCATACTCACCCATTAGCGGGAAAACACAGCTGTTCTGATGGAAACAAAGGCGTGTTGAATGTTGCCATCTATGGTTAGGTTTATTTATTTTTATTTTATTTTATTTCATTATTTATTTTTGTTTTGATTAATTTTTAAAAATCAATTTTACTCTCCAAACACTTGAACTTTTTAGGTAGGGACCCCTTTGCACTTGCACCATGTGCGCAGTCTTGGATGAGCCCCTGAACCCCTTGGACCGCGGGGCCCCCAAATGCGCGGGGCCCTAGGCAAATGCCTAGTTTGCCTAAGCGGTAAGGCCCTGACTGGACCTGTGCTCCTACCCCTTGAATCGAAATTGATTGCGTCCCATTCTCCCAGGTGCTGTTTTAATCAGATTCATGGAAGAGTGCTAAATCTGTACGGTTTAGCACTTTCCTATGACTGTGATAAAAATCTTTGGAAAAGTTAAGCTACATATATGAATAAAAATATCAGTTAAGCACACGCACATATTGCAAACAATGTTTCGGTTGACATGAAGTCATGTTAGGAGCGCACAGTTAGTTTAATATCGTTATTATGTACCTCATACCCATCCTGTGAGCGGTAGTCAAAAGTTTACAGAGGTACATAATTGGTCCAGGGACTGGACCCCAAAGTTTTGATAGCTGACCAAGTTACAAATGTAATAAATCATAAACACGTCCATACATGGTTATAGTCATGAACAAATTACAGAGTAATAAGCCATTAACAAACATTCTAGGGGGAGGTGCAGTAAATGCAATTTTATATATATGTCATCGCGCTGGAATTTATCTATGAAAACTTTGCGGTCCAGTCCCTGGATCTACTATGTGCCTCTGTTAACCTTTGACTACCGCCAACAGGATGGGTATGGGGTGCATAATAAAAATATTGAACTAACTCATCGTAGCGAGCGAGACAAGGAAAGAAAGGACAAGTTGTTGGAGGATGGTTGGTTGACAGGGACTGGATGAATTCAGCTTTGTTGCATCAAGTGTACCAGCCTGGACCAGCACATTGGTGATTTTACAATATTCGGAGCTATATAAACGGTACCTTCGACCATTCTACATTGTCTAAGTTCTAGACTGTAGAGCCTCTTCACTTTATCTATCGTCCTCTTTACTGACTGACGTTGTTCTTAACCTTGACATGGGCGTGTCCTTCACGGGACATTACATGTGTATTAATATCGTTGTGCTGGACACTAGGCATGTCTGCTCTTGATACCTTTTCTTAATGTGACTTAACATTACACTTATACAGTGGCGGACCTATATTTTGGGGGCCCTGAAGCTTGAACTGTTATGGGGGTTCTTTCTCATACAGTAGACCCAAAACTTTTAAGCAGTGTGGACTAAAGTCGTTTCTGGGGCGCCTCCGGGATTAGGGACCCTGAAGCTTAAGATTCATTAGTTTCATAGTAAATCCGCCCCTGCACTTATATCAAACTTGTTGTATTCCTCACAGACAATAGTGTTGACACGCACTTCTGTCCCCCAGTAATTCTCCCCTCTTTTTTTCACAGTTTTAACCCAGGGAAAACTGGGGCAGCTTTAAATTCATTAAAAATTTTTTTCAATTTGTTTTCCCAAAAAACAAAAGGGGTTAGAAACTCAAGGTATAAATATTCATTTTCAGTGTGATTTTAAATTTTTTAAAAAATGAACTTGGTTTTTCAAAACAGATGAGGTGAGCTGCGGGGTCCCCCTTTTTAAAAAATAGACATGAAATGTGCACCCGATGTTTTACGAACTTTTCCCTGGGATTTTTCAACTTTTTCATCGTTTTAAAAATTTTTTTTAACAAAACCCGTTTTTAAATGTTTGCTTGAAATAATTATGTTGTGTCTGCGTTCACTTCTGATATGTTGCCGGGACAAGAATTTTATTTACTTCTAATTTTGAAGCCCCCTTGTACAGATTGTATTTGTTTTTTTAAAAAGTTTTCTTGAAAATAATAAAAGTTTGGTGTTGTGTTTTTTGTTTTTGTTAAATTTCGTTGACTTCTGGCCTGTTTTATTACAAGGTATTGCATGTGTTGTTTTTTCAGTTTGTCTTAAATTCCTACCAAATGGCTAAAAGTCTTTCAAAATTTCATTGTTTCTCCCGTAAACTTAAGCATACCCTGGGTGATCCGTTTAAACTTACAACCTACACTGTTTGGTCTAGTAATCTTACAACCTACACGTTGGTCTAGTAATCTTACAACCTACCCCCTAGGTCCCGTAAAAACTTACAACTACACCCGGGGCCCGTAATCTTACAGGGCCCACCCCTGCTGATTTTCCCTTAAAACTTAAACCTACCAAATGTGGTCCCGTAATCTTACAAGAAAACTGCTGGTCCAGAAAACTTACAGGGCCCACCTGCTGATCCGTAATCTTACAACCTACATGTTTGGGTTTGTAATCTTACAACCACACTGTTGGTTATAATCTTACAACCAAAACTGTTGGTCTGTAAATTTTTACAACCTACCCCGCTGATCCAAATAATTTTACAAGCCCACACTGCTGGCCCGTAATCTTACAGCCTACACTGTGAAACCGGTAATCTTAAAAAACCTAAAAATGTTGGCTAGTAATCTTTCCCAACCCACACTTTTGGTCTAATAATCTTAAAACCTTCCCCTGTTGGTCAAGTAAAACTTTTCAACCTACACTGCTGGTCCAGTAATCTTAAAAAGCTACACGTGATCCAGTAATTTACAACCTACAAAGTTGGTCTAGTTTAAAAATTTCAACCTAAACTGCTGGTCCCGTAATCTTACAAAAACACTGCTGACCAGTAAAACTTACGCCAAAACTGCTGATCCAGTAATCTTTCAACCTCCCAAAGTTGGTCTAGTAATCCCTTCCAACCCACACTGTTGGGCCAAATAATTTACAAGTCAAATGCGAGGCGACCGTGAAAACACGAAAAAACCCGGAGCACAACGAGGCACGCTGACACGCTGGCAGTACCGCTGGCAAGAGTCTTATCATATAACTCGTGCAACTCTCTAAATGTGGGATAACCTAGAAAGAACTCGAAATAATGGTTTGAGGTTAAATTCAAATATTAGAAAGTGTTTCAGAAAGTCTTGGTTTAGAGTTTAGATGGACGGAACAATTTACAAGCAGGCAGTGACGTTAATTAACTCTTCCTGTCTTTTACAAACAACCAGTGAAGCTAATTCTTTGTGTATCTTCTACAAGTAGTCATCCCCTCAAGGGAGGTTCCTTGATGCTGGTGAGGAGCCCTTGATCTAGGGAATTGGATCTGTGCTCCAGTTCCCTGAATTGAGCTTGAATGCCTTCCATCCCCCCCCCACATGCGCTGTATAATCCTATGGGTTTAGTGCTCCCCCATAATAATAATAATAATAATAATAATAATAATACAAGCAGTCAGTGAAGCTAACTTTGTGAATCTTCTACAAGCAGTTAGTGAAGCTAACTTTACGTATTTTCTACAAGCAGTGACGCTAACTCTACGTATCTTCTACAGTCAGTGAAGCTAAGTCTTTGCGTATTTTTAAAAAAATTATTAGACAAATGCGTAAGTGAAAATGGTCAACTGTAATGTTCCTGTATAATGTTTTGTATTACCTACCATTCTTTAGGTGCTATGTAACTCCTACGGGCTTATAGCGTCTCCCCTTCAGTCTAACAATAATCTTCCTCTTGTAGGATTTGGCCTGACGGAAACTTTGCCATCGTTGATAACCCCCATGGATGACGAGAGGATAGGTGGTGTGGCAAATGTGTGCCCAACACTGAGATCAAAATTGTGGACTTGGAGACTGGCAAGGCACTGCCTGAGCTACAGAGAGGAGAACATCTGTATAAGGTCTCCTTCGGTAGGTTCAACCCTTTCTTTCTTTCCCTATGTTTCTTTCTCTCTGTCTTTATATATATCTTATAATGGCCAGCACCTCTTTCGCTAATTCCCCATAACCACCTACAGTTAATACAGAGAAAGAAAATAATACTGTTTTCAAAGGGGCTCCTTGATGCTAGTGAAGTGTTGTTCATCCAAGGTATTGCAGGCGTCCTCTTCTTCCTAGGCTATAACCTAATTGTCTCACATTTCCCAGAAGTTCTGTGTCCACTAAGAGTTCATCATTTTCCCCATCAAAATAATAATAATGCTACTACTAATAAAGCACTACCGTTGCCATATCTAACGATTCATTAACTCTCTCAGCTCATGACTGGTTACCTTAACAACC